GGGTCCTTTGCTTAAAAAAAAAGCTGCTTGAAATTTGTAAGTTGGATAGATCCAGAGAATTTAAAGGAAGATCTAACAAGAGTTCTATTTAAGATGTGAATTCTAAGGTACGGTGTTTGCATATGCATGCAGGGAAGGGTAAAATACATAGAGATACGAGAGAGTTAGAAAAATTAAGAACATTAACATGAAGCATAAAAAGAAATTGTTAGCATCATGATTTATGTTTGGTTCATTTGGCCCATGTTTATTTTTCTCGGTTTCGGAAATCGTGATTTTAAAAAAAAAGTTGATGTATCATAATTCTTTATTATAAAATAGTGTTTTGACGTCATCGGATCATTTATAGCAGTGAGTCAGTACAAATATATATTTATATAGATAGAAATAAAAATAATTACATGTTTTGAAATACAATTCTAAAAACTGTTTGTGACAGGTTGGTCTTTGTGCTTTGCTGTTTATCATAGTTCAATGTACACGACTGTCACTGCCAGTCTCTAAGAGATCGCATTACAGGGCAATGCCGATAATCGGATCAATCACAGTACTGAAAGGTTGGAACCACATTTTGTTTTGTTTTTTTATTTTTTAATTTTTATTTATTTATCGAGACGCAGCCACTTGTCGTAGGGGATCCCGATTTAAGACATTTACTTGGTACTCTTGATTAGGTCCTCTCAGCAGTGAGGGATCTTTTTGTGTCAGCAGCTACTGCGATACGGGACCTCAGTTATATATATACAGTCTCTAGTCCGGTAAAACGGTTTTCACGAACCGCAATGGGATTCGAACTAACGACGTAAGGATCAACTCCCTACTCCACAACTCTAGAACAAAGGCTCTAATCACTGTGCCAATAGGGTGATCTGCATTTTAAATATTTCAGTTGTAACATATTTGTGCTAGTATTTTTCCCACCACAACTTAAATAAAATTGAATATTCACTTCCTTTGAATGCTTTTATTATAAAAATAAAGACTATTTTCGGCGATGCTTTATATCCTTGGGTATAAAAAAAAATCGAAAATTCCACTTACATTTAATGACAAATTTTGACTTCTATTGTCCTTACCTAAATCTAGCCAATTGCATTGTCATGGCCATGATCTGAACAAACTTGAACATACAATCAGTCAAAAGCTTTTCATTTTGTTACTCTGTATGGGTCAAGCCTACAGCCTACATCGCAAATCTGAGTGAGTGAGTATGAGTCAAAAATTAGAAATTAATAGTACAACTGTACCTACTCTCTGCTCCGCTGTAACAGGAATGGCACAGCCTGTAAAGTGTGTCTTACATTTATACTAGTGAGACAGTCTATTAGAAAGGGGTGTCAGGTTACTCCATAATAATTCTAATTAAGGTCACTAGAATGATTCATGAAATAGATCATAAACATCACATACGTAAAACACTCCATAGTTAAGTTGTTTTCATATACATAACATCACTGTATACTTTGTCATAGGCTCTCAGACTTATGGCGTCAATGTTCCAGGTTTGCTCTGGCCCAAAATACCACTCTGACAGTTTTTGATAGACAACAGGACAGAGATTAACTTTCGTGCTGATTTATCAGAGGAAGGATACGCATAAGTACAATTCTCAGTTAACCTCGGACTTTCAGAAAGGCGTGTTATATTCGATGTTATATAATTAGCGTCCGAAATTTACACAACTTTCATTCACCTTTAAAATATACATGGGATAGAAATTCGGGCGAATGTCAACGAGTGTAGCGTATCCTATAACAGTGTCTCGTGCGACAACGAGGTGGGGCTTAAGTTGTCTCATCGTTTTCAACATTGAGAATCTATACGAACTATCTATGAGAATTGCCATTTGACAAACACTAATTAAGTAGCGCCGAGAATGCCACGCCTTACTGAAAATCCAATGTTTACTGAGAATTGTACTACTTTTGTGCGATTTTATGTTTGTCTATCTGTCTGACCGTTAGAAAATATTGTCCGCTCTAGATTACTTCATGTTTATAAAAGATGGTTTTGAGTTTAGGAAATGGGGTTGCAATGACCTACAAGTTTGTCGTAGTCTTAAATCAAGGTCAAAGGTCAAGGTCACCACTGGTTTTTCATTAATGAGACAGCAAAATAGCTTCCAGGATATTACTCTAAACCTCGAGTGGAATATATTCATACTTGAAAATTTATGTACCCGGTATTTTTTCGTGTATCTAGCGCCGATAACATTAGCAAATGAAATATTGATTTATCTTACAGACATTTGGATTATAACATCGGAAATGAGTATGGAAAAATAAATAAATCAATCAATAGATAAACGTAAATATATAAGGGTTAAGAAATGCGTTTTTGTCAATATTTTCCTCCACTTAATGCATTACACATCCTGATCTATTGTTATACCTGTACACCACTTTTCCTCTTTGATGTTCTGTGATTGACTGGCAAATGCGTAAAAATATTGCCAAACTTTCATTCTAGTGCTTTATCAATGATAACAGACATTAATTTACAAAACATCGCCCGACTCCGATACACCAGGCAGGCGTCCCTTGTGTACTAAGATACTGAAGCAGTGTCCAATCAACGCTCTTATTAAATAAACAGACGCAATTTTCGCTGAACTTCAAGGTTCCACTGCGCACAAAACACTGCCTAAATACAGCACTATTACAGTAAACAGAACTCTAGAAAGAGCACCGAAAACAGAGAGGTAGGGTTTAAAAGGTTTTTTTTTTAAGTTGATCGACTGCCATAGTGATAGAAAAAAATATTATTGATTCAAATCAGAATTTAAACTGAGCATTTGTTCATGGAAATCAGTGGAAGCTTTCTTACATTCTAAAATCAAGTTAAGGGACCCCGACCCTCAGCCAGGAAGGACAACTCTTTAATTTATAATTTAATTGAAAAAGTCTTTAAATGAAGCTTGAAAATTAAATATTTTCATGCAACAATTTTCATTATATGTCTCTCTATATGCTTCAAGGTTCTTTGCAAAGCTCCATAAATCACTTCTAATTTCATATCATGTTAATAAATATTGGTATCTAAAAATTACGACGGCGTATTCGTGCCATTTTAACAATGTAGAATTTTTTTTTTAATCGTTTGAACGATTTAAGAAAACGTTTGTACGATTTAACAAATTGTTTGTACAATTTAATAAATCGTTTGTACAATTTAATAAATCGTTTGTACAGTTTAATAAGTCGTTTGTACGATTTAATAAGTCGTTTGTACGATTTGATAAATTGTTTGTACAATTTAGTAAATCGTTTGTACAATTAATAAATCGTTTGTACAATTTGTTTGATAAATCGTTTGTACAATTTATTAAATCGTACAAACAATTTATTAAATCGTACAAACAATTTTTTAAATCGTACAAACGTTTTCTTAAATCGTAAAAACGGTTTCCTAAATTGTTCAAACGATTTATAAAAATCGTACAAACTATTTTGATAAATCGTATGAACGATTTAATAAATTGTACAAACGATTTAACAAACAAATTGTACAAACGACTTATTAAATTGTACAAACGATTTATTAAATTGTACAAACGATTTTTTAAATTGTACAAACGATTTATTAAATTGTACAAACAAATTTTCTACATTGTTAAAATGGCACGAATACGCCGTCGTAAAAAATGCTTTTTCGGGATAAAAATTTTCTAATTTTAATTAGACCTTTCTGAGAAGTTCAAAGAACCTTGAAGCACACTGAGAGGCATATAATGAAAATTGTTGCTTGAAAAGATTTAATTTTCAAGCTTCATTTAAAGACTTTTTGAATTAAATTATAAATTAAAGAGTTGTCCTTCCTGGCTGAGGGTCGGAGTCCCTTAAGAATATGCCCCGTTTGTTATAGATGTGCTCCAGAAGGGATCGTGGCCTCCGTGCTTTACTTCTTAGAGAAGAGATGCCTCTCAGAAAGACTCAGTGAAATATGACCTTGACCAGTACTTAGACCTTGAAATTCAAAATAAGTACTCCCAGGGGTCTTATGTGTAAATTTTGAATGGAATTGTAAAGAGAAGACCGCCCTTAGAACAAATGAATCGATAAATTTTAGTTCGTTCCATGCTAGGGGTGTTTATTTATTTATTTAAAACAAACAGTTTAGTCATATATATTTTTTTCTCTTGGTTGATTTACTGGGTAGTGAATTCTATAATACTGTAAAAATGTTATTTTGTTGCATCAAGATCATGGACATTTTTTCTGTTCCACTAAGCATTTTAAAAATTAAGAAAAAACAAGATATACAAGTCATGTAAAATTTGCATTTTACTATTTCCTTTTATCCGATAGCTAGTTATCATTTTTTATGTTAAACAATACACACGTGATCATAGTTAGACTGTAAAAATGATCACGAAGACTTTATTTTCATTTTTGTTTTGACAAGGTATTTCAATTTAATGTTTATAACATTTTCCCTATCCGTGCAGGTTTTGATGTCTGCCCTATTGTGGTCAGTCGACTATTCGTCTGTCTTGGACATTAAACAATAAATCATTTGTCGATCAGATGCCAAATATGCTCATTTCATTTTGTATCTTATCTTTTGTTATATACATTTTGTACACTTGAAGGGAAACAAATCTATATATACAACATGGGCGTCGGAAGCAAATTGAAGGGGGGGGGGGCTAACCCAACCAAAAAAGGTAAATCCCTATTTTCAATGTCAACATAATTTTTGCTAAAAAAAAAAGGGGGGGATTAAGCTCCCCGCCCCCCCGTACCGACGCCTATGTACAACGAATCTATGAAATTCAATACTTTCAAATGAAATCCGTTAAATTGAAAAAACGAAATACGGATATAGCGACGTAAAATTCGCGGGTTCCCAGAACTTCGCTATAACCGAGTTTTACTGTATCCTTTCCAGTCTATCTCTCAGACTGTAATACACAGTGACTATGTTTTATATATTGCCGATAGGAAGGTCACACAGATTAAAACACTGGTTATATTTGACATCCTCATCATGTAAAATGTCAAACTTCTGTCATGGTCTGTGTACGTTGCCAAATGTGTGTATTTTGGTATACAACGTGTGCATGTGCAACTAATGCGATTAATGGACTGCTAGCTATTACTGCAGAGCGAGGGCCGATCCTCAGACGCTGGTCTACTCACATAGCTCCGGTGACTTCTGCTCGGATTGTCAATATTGTTTACGTTTGATGGATTAGCTGTAGAACAGACACAGCTGTATAATGCAGTAATTCATTAAGACCGATAAATTAAGATATAAAACACGGCATATCTTCCACATACTACTGTGTGACTGAGAACGCATTTAGAAATCAGTGACGGTCGGTATTGATTTCCCCCATTAGAACTCGTACACAGGGAACACGCCTTTGTCACTCGTCAAGGAAAACTGCTATTTATTTACCTTTAGAATGTTTAATCTAGGGTTCCTGTGAATAACGTTTGTAATGAGAAGGAATTAGTGTTTAAACACCGTATAAGCTGGCACGTGACGGTGAACATTACACGTGAGAGATTGGAGTTTATTTGAGTCCAGAACAGGAGACTGCAGAATAAGCGACAACTGCTTGGTTTACGGCGGAAGTAACGACATTACGACACACACCCCTCCGGCGCCCAGCTCTACACGCGGGGATGGTGAAGCGCCAGCGCGCGAGCTGTCGTGTGTGTGTATTAGGTATCTATCTGTTTACATCGGAGGATATACAAACCAGGAAATGATTTTCTGCATCTGTTGGTGCCTCTAGGTAAAGTTCATGAAGTAACACCTTACAAAGTGGCTATCGTGTGACTTCGTGTTTGTGTCGTTTGCTCTAAGAGAAATCTCTGCCATGCTCAGACGAGGAGTGTAATGGCCAGTCCTAACGATCTTCTGCTGCACGATGTCGTCTGCAACGAACCGTCTGCAGAGCGACAAGGTATTTTATTAATATATTTAAAAACATGTTAAAAATATGCATGGAATAAAATGTTTATTTCGCTCTGAGGTTTTTTAAGTAACGTTTATATAAATTAATTTCTCTGGTTCGTTTCATGATGGAAGGTATTAATAGAATCTCTGTAAGCACCAGATTTTGCCCTTGTTAACCAGTGATAAAATGAGTTCCAGGCATTGTCCGGGTAAAGTCGGGGGTCGTATCAAAAGAGCAGACGACTTCATTAGCCACCATTCAATTTCTAAATCTAAACGTTCACCGATTTTTGTTTCAGTCCACAAAGATGGCGGGAAGGGATGTCACTGTCGGGTGCTACAGAACGCTTACATGGAGGAGGAGGACGCCTACAACTTTATATGTCACGTGAACAACTCCTTTAACAAGTCGGGTGAGTACAATACCAGTGTCAAGGTAAAAAAAAACATACTGTTGAATTTCTATCTGTTTTGTTGGTCATGAATTTCTATCAGTTTTGTGGTCATTTATTTGTCGTCACAGTATGATATTTTGTCATCTTTCAGTGCTCGGGTTGTCCATGTTGACGATAGGCCTCGCTATTTCCGTTCTGTGCCTAACGTTCGGTGAGTATTCTCAATAGAACCGGAGAATCAATTGACATTGTATAGTGCACAGCACACTGACCACGGATCAGTAATGTAAATGAAGGAAATTATATTATATTGATTTCGAAATGACTACTGGACGTATGCTACATGAAATATGTCCGAGAGTCCTTTCTTTGTTTAGTGTCCATGCTTTATGAGTGGTATATCCGGACACAATGGTTAGTATAAAATTGTTACGGAACAACATCTTTACACAGTAGTCATTGTAACGGGGCAAAGTATCAGTAACGGCAAATGTTTAAATAAACAAGAAAAAACATCAAGCATTTAAGGATTGCCGTTTTGTCGAAAAAGCAGATCCACAAATTTACTTGGGTAAGGGAAAGGGCGAAGACTTGTACACCTTGCACATGTCATTTAGACTATATGTTCAATTTAATTAATTTCCAAGCTTTCAGTTCGAATCACGCATAATGCTGATAAAATGAAGGCTCATTAACTTTCAGACAACATACCTCAAAACTGTTAAGAGACCTTGCTACCTTCTCACTTTATATTTTGTTTAATTGTTGTTTTACGTCCACCAGAGATGTGTGATTGTAATTTTTATTTGTTTTAGGTATAATGGAGTTCAATAATTGCCCCTGTGAACCTCTTCTTCCATTGTTTCTCACTCTGAATGGTGCTGCATTGATGTTAAAATGTTTTCTACAAGGTGCCCGTATTATGTGCAATATCGCACCCCCCGAGGGGGAGAGACACTGCCTATACACTGTCACCGACATGTTGACGTTATTCCTCGTGTTTTGGGGGTTTACAGGTAAATACTGTTATTGTATTGTACCTGTGAATGTTTATGTAGGACGTGTATAAAAACTTGTTGCCTGGTCGTGTAGTAAATTCCCCATAAACAAATAATACAACAAGATTCCTCATCAAAATATTTAAAAATCCAGAAAATGTAATCTAAAGCTGTAAAAATTTATGAAATGTGGAATGCTTTCATCTTTGTTTTATTTCATAAATTTCCAAAGATGTCGCATTATACAGTTATATACTCTTATCTAGACTTTGTATAGAAAAACTTGTACTTTGTGTTGTATTGGATTCGGCTTATAGATATATTTTTTCTATCATTTTTTTTTGGAAGGCGCTGTCCTGGTGTACAATCTTCTGAAGATCGCGCAGACTGAAGACGAGCACGCCATACACTACTGTGACTACCACCTCCTCAGTATCGCCATTGCTGTCGTCACGGTGACGTTCGTCCTCATCATCTTCACTATCGTCTGCTACGCAATCCTCTGGTTCATTCACGATAAAATGGAGAGCTCGGACAAGTTCAAAGACTTCATCATAGAAAGAGAACTGGACAGGCGGAAACCCTCGTTATGTGTTGTGACCGGGTGATGAAGGACGCCTATAGAACGCCTTACTCAGATAATATTTCGCGGAGGTTCATCTTGCCTTTTCTTATTGCAATGTGCTGTTTGTTATATTTTTGATAAAAAATAGGAGAAAAGAAACACAGCGTGAGTTTTATGGTTTCTTTCACACGTTGAACAGGCAATATTATATTGAGGCGACAGGGTGGAAGCTGTCTTAAAATCAATTTCATGGAGAACGCATCAAGCCGAGATTTGCGTACGCAGTTTTTTCGCTTCTAATATCCGTTTACAACGATGATAATAAGTAATAAAATTCTCAGCAACTTTCAAGTGGTCTTGTATACACACCCTTTCATATATCTAATTTACAACCTAAAAATTCGAGAATTCCATACAGTGATATTGGTTTCTCTCTGTTGAGCAATAATACAGACTGACGCATTAGGAACTGTTATGATCACAAATCATTTCGACCCAGCTCATTATGGTACAGATGAAGCCAGGGATTGTTTTGTCTTATATTACAGTTCTACAGATACAATTAACACAGGGGACTAAAATAGCAAATTTCTTCTCGACCCAGTACTAGTAACTTTATCAAGTAGAACCCATGCGTCGAATTTTTAAAAATAACCTTTAAACTCGTCATTCAAAAATATACACTGAAAATGAAAAAAAAAATAATCAAACCAATGTTAATCTAGACAGATCAACGAGATTCATAAAAATATGCATGTGGAAAGCTAAGTTTCTATCGTACTCATGATATTTTTATCGTTCTGAATTTCAAAGCTACTAATGTTTCGGTCTTCCGTTACGTCAAATCCGCCAGTGTGGAATTCATGTAAGAGGAAAGCAGCGCCCGCGCGCACCTTCATTTTAAAATTTGCCTTTATCAAACAATTTTTTGTTCTTAAAGAAAACATTCAAATATACCGAGAATCACTTTTACATGTAACTTAAAAAGGCGATATGCATCTTGAATTTCTCTCCCTTTCTCTATTATTGCTCTGTGAACTGT